ATGAGAAATCATTTAACTATCAAAATATTTCAATTGAGCCAGAAGTTGAAACCCCATTCAAAACAAGAACCAAAGAACAAAAGTTTTTATTATTATATGCTTTTTTTATTTGAACTAGTATACTTATATATGCAGACTAGTATACTCATATTGGTTGTTAGGCATCCATTTCAAACGTGTTCATGTTTCTATTGCACTAAGTAACCTTCTCGGAATTTTCAAGCATATCCCTTTTGTTCAATCCATGGAAGGAGATCATTTCCATCCCACTTTCCATAAAGGAAAGAGGGGAGATAACTCATATCAGTTAATACACTCCAGTCTTTAAATCATCTTTGTGTTACTTGTCTGTTTCTTCCACTGAAATTTTAAGTGTAGAGATTGAATTTCCAATTGTTAGAGAACCAAATGTTTATTCAATTTTTAAACCACCACACCATGTGTCTCTTCGATAATCCAAGAACTGGTTAAGGACACATATATATATATATATATATATATATATATATATATATATATATATATATATATATATATAAATTATGAATTTCCCTTTAGTTAAAACTCAGTAAATTTAAAAATAAGTTACTCCAAAATTAGCGTGAGGATTAAATGGAACTAATGTTTTTAATTTAATTACAAAATTAAATTTAAAGTTTTTAGCTTCCATTTTTGAAACATGGTTATTACTGTGTAGTGAAGAAAAATATATTTTAAATCTTATAATATTAATGCTCTGTAAATTTACATTGAGGACTATCTTGTAAAAAATAAAAGTATCAATAAGAACACCAGATTACATATCTTACTGTTCTTTTTTTTTTTTAAAAATTTTAAATATATATATATATATATATATATATATATATATATATATATATATAGAGAGAGAGAGAGCGTTATATATATATATATATATATATATATATATATATATATAGAGAGAGAGAGAGAGAGTGATATATATATATATATAGAGAGAGAGAGAGATGATATATATATATAGAGAGATGTGTGTGTGTGTGTATTTGGACAGCAATCCCTCTTTTATACAAGTTTCATTAAAGATGACCGACAAGAATTTGCAATTAAGCTTTTCATTTATTTTTCTTGCATTTGTACAAGTGTTTTCTTTTCTGGACATAAAGTGCGTATAAACTGTCCAAAAGTTCTGCATATCTGAGTGCTTTGCATTATTCTATTAGACATTAGCAAAGATTGTTTTTAAACTGAATATGTAGATTTTTATATATGTGTATCTATAGTGACGGGAATATTTTTTTTATTTTCCAAACATAGTCAGCACATTGTGGCTGTGTTCATAGTTGATATTGAATGTTGCCCTTTTCTTTTCTTTTTTTTATTTATTATTAATGCTTTCATTATTTACATCTCTTAAAAAGATTGAAACACTGAATGGAACACTACCACGGTTTTGACTGCCAAGGTCTCATCAGGTGGTTAAACTTAGCCTAATGAAACCTTGGTGATTGTCACCGCAGTTGTGTTTCATTCAGCATTTTAGAGTATATATTACTTTTAGTGATTGTTGCTGTGCCTGGGTCGTCTGGTCAGTGAACACTTTACTGTGTAGGTAAGTGTTTTTGTTTCGGTCTTTTTCCTTTTCTTATTTGGAATTTTTTCTTGTCTAAGGTGTTAGGTTGTCTGACAAGTTGTCTGTTGGACACACAAACATAATTGACATTTCTTTACTCTGTGTGTGTGTGTGTGTGTGTGTGTGTGTGTGTGTGTGTGTATATATATATATATATATATATATATATATATATATATATATATATATAGGCTTGTGTGGTAGACAGAATTCCTTTGTTCACATCCTGGTATTCTTTAGAAAGCTGACATTTTTGAATAGTCTACAGTGATGTCATGTGTAACAGTTATTGGGCAAATCAACAAATCAAAAAGAAAGCATTTTTTTTAATACTGTGTGTGTTTGTACACATTAGATTTAATTAAATTAAATTCAGAACATATAACACATGACACTACCCTGGTGCAAATAAAAATAATCCCCGCCCCAATCAACTTATTCAATCATAAGCAGATGCAGCCTAATTATAAACAAGATGAAAAAGCAATTAAAAGATATAATTTCACAATACATATCACTCAATGATCCTAACACCTAAGATTTATCATCTACAGAAAAGTTTAAAACCTCTAAAAACATGATACTTCAAAACTCCCCACCTCCCCCGTGTAAAAAAAAAAAAAATATTGTTTATGAATTCTCACTCTCTCTGGGAGATTGCATCTACAACAGCAATAGTAAAAAAAAACAGCATTAAATTCTTACATCAGACACACATGCACCACACTCTCTCACAAGTTGACCTGTGAAACTCTGTACAATCTGTTCAGATATCGACCAGCACATCACAAATGAACAGAACACAACTATCAACATGAGATAAGTGTTAATGGATTATACCAAAATACTCTAGAACGGTGTTTCCCAACCTATGGCCATGGCAAATTTCAAGTATGGGACAAAATAGAAGTAGATTATTTACATTATTCAGACTAATGTCCTCATCGTTGCCACCATATTTATTACAACATTTCGGACGTTGTACACTCCAGCCTTCTTCAGGTGGTTGGAATGTCAAATTGAACCCTTTATTTTGCTCACTGGGGTAGACTGTTCTAGTTCCACATGCCATGTTTAATGGATGTCAGTTATCAGTTATCTCCTGTTAATTAAGATGTCGATTGACATTACACTTGAATATTTGAAGATTATAGTTATCAGGGAAGCAAGTAATAGGAAGAGAATTCTACAGATGAAAAGTGCGAGAGAAGAAGCTGTTTGAGTAGAAGAGACAGTTATATTTAACCATTTCAACAGTGAAAGGGTGGTACCAAGATGCCAGCCTAATAGCTCACTTAAATTCATGCAGTCTGGGAACCAGAGAATGCAACTCATCAGAACAGTTACTGTGAGAAAGCGACTGTAGACTAGATGTCAGATCAGGACCTATTGCATTGCATATCCATCTCTGGATTTTGTTGAGGACCTCAAGATGTACAGCAGAGACACCAGATCATATACGACAGCAATATTCCATGCAAGGACAGATGGTTGATTTATAGATATGAAAGATGTACTCGGACAAGAAAAACTTTCTGACATGACACAGAGAACCAACTTTCTTTGCGGTAGATGAAGCTATTGAGTCTATGTATTTGTTCCACCTCATATCAGCGGACAGCATGAGACAAAAGTTTTTCAAAGTATAAGTTTGATAATTGATTCTATTCTTTTTTCAATGACTCTAAGAGATCTTTTTCATTTTTTTTTTTTTTTTCCCACTCTTCTGTCAAGTTCATCCCATGCTAATTCTGGGCTCGCTTCAAATGTTTTTAACTGTAGTATGTGTGTGTGTGCATATATTATATATATATATATATATATATATATATATATATAAATAAATAAAAGTGAACATAGAAGTCAACACTTAGAGGCGACAGTCTGTTTCATGCTATATGCAATTAAGGCCACGATTAAAAGGTGGCCTGACGATTGCATATAGCATGAAACAGAAGTCAACACTTAGAGGCAACAGTCTATGTTCACTTTTATATTTACACATGCTCTATCTCTGATAATGAGCACTTTATCCCATAAATATAGCACACCTTAAGACTATATTTCTTATATATATATCTCCAACATTTTACATATTTAATATTATACATATGTGTGTGTATATATAGCCAACATTTTACATATTATACATGTGTGTGTGTGTGTGTATATATATATATATATTTTATAATTTTAATATAGATAGATAGACACACATGTGTACACACACATTGAGATATATATATATATATATATATATATATATATATATATCTCAATAAAATACATGTGCATTACATGAAATCAACAACTGAAAATTATAAAATGTTATAAACTTTCTTTATAACTTCTTTTGTTTTCTGTGAAATGACAAAACAAAATTGAGTATTTCCCAATCAAATAGATAATATTTTGAATTCATCCAAACTCTCTAATTTCAGCCATGAAACTAATGAATTGGAAACACTAATTATAAGTAATGAACGGTTAGGTAGAAAGAAATAGATGGGGAAATGAAGGAATATGAAAAGTAAAAGCAATCAAGCAACAAAAAAAATAGTAGTAAAAGATTTTGTTACAAAAAGGAAAAGAAAAGAAAAACAAAATAAAAGTCAAGAAGGGAAGAAAAGCAAAATAAAGAAGAGAAAGAGGAACAATATACACCAAAAAGAAGAGAGAGAAAGAAATGGGGATTATTGAGAGAGAGAGAGACAAATTATATATCTGAGAGGAGATAAAAGAAGAAGAATACGGAAGAGAGAAAAAGAGTAATCAGGTGTGCTACAGTTCTCAAAGAATGTATAGAAATGACAGAAGGGAGAGAAAAAGACACTATTTGAGAGAAATTTCAAGTTGAAGTAAGGAACACAACAGAAAGGGTAGAGAGAAAGAGAAATAGTAATTGTTTATTACTAGAGAGAAAAAAAATGAAAATACAATGATGATAATCATTTCTTAGAAAGAATAAGAAAAAAATTATGAGATACACTATTTGAGAAATTTAGTAGATTAAAAAGGAAAACAAAAGAAGAGGAAGATAGATTCCCATATAGATTATATTTAATCTGACATTAATTTCTCATTACTATAATTGGTTGATTGATTTGTTATTTTGGGGTTTTTTTATGGCTTATCAACCTTTTTTATGTTATTTAAAGCTGGAAAATATGTTTAGATAGTAAGAACATTTCGGAGATAATAATGATTTTCTAATACTAGTCCTATTATTTAACTCTTAGCTGTAGAGAGAAGAGGTGGATTCATAACTTCCCCAACCCCCAGAAGTGCAGAAGTGACTATAACCAACCTGAATGGAATTGGAACTCAGCTCTGGTTTTCAATTCTGAGCCGTTAATTCATTACACCATCAGCACATCCAAACTTATAGCCCCTGTTATTCCCAAGTGGTCACTCATCTAGGTACTGACCACACTCAATGTTGCTTAACTTCGGTGATAAGACGAGAACCAATGTTTTAGGGTGATAGGGCCATAAATCCATCTTATGACTATAAACATTATTTTTAGTGGGTATGTGTTTCAGCTGCTAGCCATTTAATTTTTTAAATAAAAAAAAAAAAAACAGAGCTAGCAACCCAAATATGTGTAATCCACATACACACACACACACACACACATATATATATATATATATATATATATATATATATGTGTGTGTACATGTACACACACACATACCAGGTAGAACAACAAAATTGTCCAAATCATGTAACATGGGATAATTGTCCATCCTACAAAATGTTTAATATTTAAAAGACCACTGAACTGAGTTTCCTTTTTACAGGTTTTCAGTTAAGATATTTAACCATCTTGACACCATTTTTTATCAGAATCAGTGAAAAACCCTTTGAGTTATTCAGCTAGAAAGATAACAGGTTAAAATCATTTTGTGTCAGCCCCACTGTCTTTCCAAACAGGAAATTGTGAGACAAAAAAGATCATTCAGGCCTTCAGTAATAGTACCAAAATTCATACTCTGGTTTCCATCTAAAGTCCATTCAAGAAGAATGGCGAATAAGTTTAAAAAAAAAAAAAAAAAAAAAAGGAAAGAATAGAGAGGAAAAATGGATGAGGAGGTCACAACAGGAAGAGGGACCATCATTTCAACTAAGAGCTAAATACATTGTTATTGTTCAATTAGAGTCCAATAGGGTTATAAAAATTTTGGAGAATTCCAGTAAGATATCTTTAATCATTTCTAAGATACAACAGTTCAAAGCTTAATCTAACATTTGGACAATTTTGTTGTTACACCTGATATATATATATATATATATATATATATATATATCAGAAAAAATTACATGCTAGTAATAATAAACTTGTCTAACGCTTTCACACTGTTCAAGATTTTAAATTTATTTTCATAAAAAGTTTCACACATCAAGGAAGCAGACGGAGAGCAGGTTTTTGCTGACAACACAATTTCCACCAGAAAATACCCCATCTACAAAAACATCTGTCGGTGAGCAATTCCCATTTCTCTGTTTATTCCTCGGTCTGGTGATGAAAGACGTGTCCGAAAATTCCAAACTTTAAACCTCTCTCTCCGTGCTTCATATCTGCCATATAGTTAATAATTAATATTTAATAGATGTTTATTGTACTGATTATATTGGTACCCTTTCATTTGACCTTGTTTTATTAACTAACCTATATACATTTCCTTATATATGTTTTATTCTTCATATTTTTGCTACATGTGTGTCCAGTCTTATGACCTTCTTCAGGCAAATTAAAGGAATCAATTTGTAAATGAATTTATTTTCCTTATGTTCTTTTAATGTTCCATTGTTCATTTTCTGTATTTGAAGCAAAGCTTGATCTCATTTTTGGACTGTTGACAAAAGTGAATTTCTGCCTAAATGGTAATAAAATCATTAGGTTTGGTCTTAGTGGTGGCGATGACAGATGTGTCAATGATAGATGCCCCCATATCACCGCATCACCCCTAAGACTGTCAAATCTATTTCTATTTTTGTGTATCGTGTGTGCATGCATTACTCCACTCATTAGCTTGCACATGAATCTGCATACACACACACACACATACACACACTATGTGTGCATATATATATATATATATATATGTGTGTATATACACACACACTATATATATATATATATATATGTACACACACACACACATATATGTATATACACACACACACACATATATATATATATATATATATATATATATATATATACACACACATATATATATAAATAAAAGATAGATATGACAGAGAAATTACTCATTAGAGAACAATGAACATTTCTGAAAATCTATGTTGATGAAAAATGGATATGACAGAAAACTATGCAAAATATGTTTCAGTAAACAATGAAGACCAGCAAATCAGATTTGTTCTGCAATTAAAGGAAATGCCAACATCTTTAGTATAGAATTGATTCCGTTAGAAAACAGAAAATGGTTAAATCAAGGAGGTACTATAGAAAACAGAACAGGGATTAGACAATTTTTTGCATTTTATATGAAAGCTTTCTTTTTATTATTTATTAAATTATAAATCTAACAGAGGCATATAGCACAAAAGTGAATTGCACTAAATTTCAGTAATACAGTACAATACATATAACATAGAAATACAGCACAATATATTTTATATAATTTTTATACATTATTTACATTATTCGGACTATTGTCCTTATCTTTGTTGCCATATTTATTACAACGTTTAAGCCATTGTACGCTCCAGCCTTCTTCAGGTGGTCGGAATGTCGAACTGAACCCTTTATTTTGCTCACTGGGGTAGACTGTTCTAGTTCCACATGCTCCACTGCCTTAGCCAGGTATTGAACTCACACTCTTTGGATTTAACCAACGCCTTTATCCACTGTGCCATGTGTCTTTCAGTTATCTCTTGCTTAATTCCTTTAGCAGGAACTACAAGGAAACTTGATAACAATCAAAAATAGAAATTTTCAGGATGCACACTATGAGGAGAAAGCTTGGAAAATTTAACACTCACAGGACACATCAAAAGAAATAGAATCTAATGAAAACAGTAAATAACCAACTTGAAAAATTTATTTACATTATGTACATTGTTTGGACTGTTGTCCCTATCTTTGTCATATTCATAACATTTTGACTGTTGTATGACCTCCTTCAGGTGATTGGAATTTTGAACTGAACCCTTTATTTCATCCACCAGGGTAGATTTTTCTAGTTCCACATGCCATGCCTCTTCCAGATGTCTCAGTTATCTCCCTTTAACTCAACCCCTCCAAGTTTTTGTTGACAACAGCAGTAGCCAGGTATTGAACTCACAACTCTTTGGGTCAAGTCACTGGATCCAACCAATGCTTTTATCCACTGGGCTATTCTTCAGGCCTTTTTCAGCTGAAGAAGGCCAGAGCATACAATGACTGAAACATACTGAATATGACAATAAAAATGAGGACAATGTAAATAATTACAATACCTCATCTCAGAAATATAGACAGATAATAAAAAATTTAAGCAAACAGCTGGAGGAACAAGTACTGCTGAGTACAAGAAAAGACAGGAAGCTGTGGAGAAGCATAATCACCTAAGTCCTGAAGGAATATGGCACAGAGAAACAAAGAAGCAGTAAAAACAAAATCAATCATTTTTGGCATTTTCTACATGCAAACTGCTACAAAATAAAAAGTTGCTAAATAAAGAAAAAGAAATCACTCTAAATGATTGATTATATTAAATGCTTCAAGCTATAAAAAGCTTTTATTTGTAAAACTATTAATCATTTCAGACCTCCTCTTAAAATAACATAATGCATAATAAATAAAATAAATTGCAGCTTTTACAATTATCTTTACAACATTCTTGAGCTTTTGTAATAATATAGAAAAAAAATAAAACAAACGCAATATAAAACCCAAATACCAATGATAAGATGTGGGGGGAAAAAAAAAGTATCTGCTCTAAAATACTACAATATTTCTGGTTTCATTTATCTTCTCTTCATTTTCCCTTCCCACTCTTCTTTCTCTTCTGAGCTAGTTTCAAAAACCCTAAAACACATTCAGAAATGTCAATGATTGAAAGGTATAGCTTTGCAAGTAATTAAACATATAGGGAAACATGTTCGTTATCTGGCATCTTTTACAAGATGAAAGCAATAAGCAAGTGGGATAAAAGTGTAAGCAAAAATAGAACAATTATTTCAGAACACCCAATTCTAGTCGCTTAGTACACTGAAAATAAAATGCAGGTAATCAAAGACTTTATTAAGGTAAAAATGCATTGAATTTGTAGCCAATTGAACGTATAATTTCAGAGAATGAACTATTTGTATTCGCCGAGTCTTCTGAAGCAATTGTGTCAATTTGAAGATCACGTACATTATATTAACTGGAGAGAAAAGAAAAAAAAAAAAAAAAAAAAGAAGAAAAAAAAGACACTACTGAAATGTCAAATCTATTTTGTGTAAAATAATAAATACTTCAAGATGGACGCTCTTGTCAAATGTCCAGAATAATTATTAACAGTAAAATTTTGCCCTTTTCTGAAAGATAAGAAAAAAAAAAAAAAATGAAAATGTTCAGTTGGACTTTAAAAGTCACTCATTGGAATCAGATGTGAGTGAAAATGTCCTGATTTAACTTTTTTTTTTCTTTTTTTTAAAAGCACTGTTTTTCAGACAAATAAAACATACAAAATGTTTTCAATATAAATACAAGAGAGACAAGAATAATACAAATTACCAGAAGAGTGATTGAGTTGATTTTTTTTTTTTACGGTTTATCAACTCTTTGCAGGTTATTTAAAGCCAGAAAATATTTTTAGAAATTTTTTTTTTTTTTATAAAATAATTTAAGATTTAGTGATAAAAATCTTATTAATTAATCCATAGCTGAGTGAGGGGGAGAAGAGGTAGATTCATACATTTCCCAAGGGTATTTGAGCCTAAGTGAATCTAATGAACCCAACAGGAATTGGAACTCAGCTCTCCAATTAACAATTCCAAGCCGTTATCCATTACACCTTTTGTAAAGCCCGTTTGTAGGAGAGACTTTGTAAATCACAGATACAACAATATTAATGCCTTTGAACAATACTTGGTCAGACAAAGCTAATTTATATATATATATATATATATATATATATATATTATTATTATTTATAAAAAAATAATATGTTATAAAATCACTACAAAAATAGCCATTTTGTTTCAACACCCTCGGATATATATATATATATATATAAATTATTTTTTTTTTTGCGCACTTATACACTATATATTTCCTTTACCTGTCACGTGATCTAATTATTTCAAGATAAGGTCAACTGCTTTCTCTTTGGCGATTCATAATCAAACCCAAATGTTGGTAGCAACAATTTATTCTTATATGACAACACCACAACACATCCAAGCTTAGAGCATCTGGTATTCCCAAGCAATCACCCATTGAGATACTAACAAGGCTCAATGTTGCTTAACTTCAATGATTGTACAGAAA